GGGCCTCCGAAATGTTGTGGTGCTGGCAGTCTGGGTCCTGGGGCTTCTCCTTGGCTCTTTGAACAGGGACCTTATGTTGTTGGATAAATTCCTCCAGCCTTAAAACCTAAAACAGAAGGCAAGAAACACTAGGCAATGAAGCACAGTCATACTTCCTGGATATGGTTATCAACGTGGGAATCCATTCACCTGGGTCCATCTGTGCTCAAGAGGGTCCCCTCAGGGGCTGGGAAGGTGGCTCAGTGCTTGCCTTGCATGCATGAGGCCATGGATTCGATTCTTCAGCACCTCATACGCAGAAAAAGCAGGAAGTAGTGCTATGGCTCAGGCGGTAGAGTACTAGCCTCGAGCTGAAGAGCTGAGGGACAGCACCCAGGCCCAGAGTTCAGGTCTCATGACCGACAAAAAGAAAAAAAGAGGGTCCCCCCAGAAAATCTTATGTGCTTATAGAAAAGCTGGCATTAATTAGCTAGTTGCTAGTGTTCTTTTTTAAAAAGAGCCCAAGGTAGATGCTGTTGATTTACACCTGTAATTCTAGCTACTCAGGAGGCTGAGATCTAAGGTTTGTGGTTCAAAGTGGCCCTGGCAGGAACATCCATCAGATTCTTATCTCCAATTAACCAGCAAAAAAGCAGGAAGTAGAATTGTAGAGCACTAGCCTTGAGCAAAACAGCTCAGGGACAGCACTCAGGCCCTGAGTTCAAGCCCTAGGATTGGCACACACAAAAAAGAGCCTAATAGGTTTATTGTATTCTGTAGTTTTTAAAAAATTATTTGCATCTATCGATATAACTGGTGACTTTTTAAAAACGATTATTCCAGCCTGAAAACCCACTTAATTTTTTCCTTTCCTCTCCCCTTCCCTTCTTTTCCTCTTTCTCTATTTTTTAATTTTTTTTATGTTTTTTTTATCGTGAAAATACTGTACAGAGGGGTTACAGTTACATGAGCAAGGTAATGAGTATATTTCCTATCAAGATTGTTGCCTCCTCCTTTGTTCTTCCCCTACCACCCCTTCCCTCTCACCTCCACAACTACACTCTCCCTCCTCCCCACCTAAATTATAAAGTTCATTTTCAACATAGTGTCTTGTACATCTCATTGGTACAATGGGTCAACCTGTATCCCTATTTAAACATTTTGCTTTTTCCCTTCCCCTCCCCAAATTATACTGACATCAAATACTGTGAAAACAGGGGTTATACCCTGGGGGAGGAACACACAAAGCAACAACAATAACAAAAACAATGTACCTTATAAATAATTAGAAACAATAGCAATCAAGAAAAAAAAACACTTGTGTCCCTATCTTGGGGTTCATTTTGCTTAACTTCATCTTATCTGATCATATGTACATAACTTTTGACCTTTTCTAGTTGGACGTAGCTAGCAAGATCAATAGAAAGCCCATGGATTGGGAGAAGATCATATATATATATATATAAAAACAGAATTCTATGTCTCCATGGAAAGAATTGGAAAAAATTATATTAAGTGAAGTAAGCCAGGCCCAAGGAAACATAAGTCCCATGGTTTCCCTTATTTGCAATAACTATTATATGTCTTTCTCTATTTTATACAAATGTTAATCATGTCTCACAGCATGAGAATATTAGCATTTTCAATCTCTTTTGGCAAAAGACTTGTAAAAAATGTATCAGAATTTAAGAATTGCACAGATAAATTTAGAGAAGAATGGCTGGGGGGGGATTATTAAATTTTAAAGGTTTAATTACAATTACTACTAACCAGCTAATTGTGACAAATCAATTAAACAGATTGTTTCCCCCCCAGACTTTGAGGAAAATGAGGCCAATAACCATAAAGAAAACTCAGACTTTGTGAGAATTTGTCTAGAAAATAAAGTAAGAGGGAAGGGATAGAATGAAAACAAGACAGTAAGATAATAAAACATGTCCTTGTCTTTAAAACTGTCATCTTGTATGGGAGATACAGTTTTATAACCATAGCAACACTCAATAGAGAAACATATAAAATCGTATCACACCATTAATAGTGTAACTACTCCATCCAAGCTGTGGATCTAAGCACTTTGTAGTATTAGTTATTTACATCTTCACGACATCCACCATGGGGTAGGACTGCACAGAATTTGCAGCAATAAATGCACCTCTGGAGGAGTCCAGGAAGCTTGAGAATACTGAAGATTAAGTGGGAGTCTAGAGGTCGGCCAGGGGATAAAGGTGGGGATGGGCGCTGTAGGCAATGAGACCAATAAGTGCAATGATAGGGAGCAAACAGGATGGGTGTGAAAAGTGAAGTTCCATTTGAAGGAAAGGGTAGGAGTAGATTGAGGAAGTGGAGGGAGGGCCAGAATCTTAGAAAGTAGTGGTGGTGAATTAGGTTGAAACTAACTTGCAAAAACATTATATATAGATGAAAGATTTTAGAGAGTAAAGACTTGAGTGTTGGGTTTCAGAACATGCATTTTGGAATTTGCTCGCCCAGGGGGAATGCAGAGTCAGGAAGACCTATGACAATGCTTTTGAAAGAATTTAGACATCACAGAGAAACAGCAAGGCCTTCAGAAAGCCACCTTGCTTTTTATAAGGAGCATTAGGAAAGGAAACAGTTCAAGTTCAAACTCTCTTTGTACTGCATCTTGCTAAAGTTTATGAAATAGTCGAGTCTTATATAGTTGTGTGTGTGTGTGTGTGTGTGTGTGTGTGTGTGTGCGTGTGCACGTGCTCGCACGTGTGTGCCTGTGTAGTTCTTTTTCTGTCTTATTTTGTTTTGAGAGGCAGAGTCTTGCTATGTTTTCCAGGCTGGCTTCAAACTCCTGGGCTCAAATTCCTATGGTCAAGTGATCGTCTTGCCTCAGCTTCCTGAGTAGCTGGTTCTACAGGTACACACCACTGTGCATGCTGTTTATGTAAACATCTATAAGCAGGTAAAGTGATGGTCTAGTCCCTGAACATCTCTATCCTGAGAATCCTAAGACTTTCTTGTAAAGAGAAAGCAGAATTCAAATGGACTTGAGCCACAGGATACATAGGACCCAACAACTGAGTAGATTTGATGGGGGGTAGAAGCAGGAGGGGACAGTGTGTAAGGTTGGTGAGCTGGGAGAACAAACAAGGTGTGGTGAGTGGTAGATGATAGTACCATTAGTATGGTGGCAGAAATTGAAGATGAACTGTAATTTGTCCAAAGTCAACCTCTTGATCATGGCTTATGTTGGGCAGTCATTCAGGTCCTGAAGGATTGTTAGTACAAAGAAGTGACACAGACTACTGGGTAGCATTGGCTTGCTTGTTTAATTTCTAGTCACACTTTATTAGCTTCGTGACTTTGGGGAAGTCATTTACTTTACCTTATCTCTGCCTCAGTGTTCTCATTTCCAAACTTGAGATAATAATAGCATCTACAATGTAAAGTGGCTGTGACGATTAAGAGACTTAGTATGTTTAAGCAGTATCTTGACTACGATGCTGTTCCACAAAGTGCTAGCTCCTTTTCCCAGAATCCCCAGCATTGGTGATAGAACCCAGGACCTTTCATGCTAGGCAAGTACTCTACTACTGAATCACATCCAGATCCAACTGTTGCTTTTTTAAAAGAGGGGCTCTTCAGAGCATTCAAGGAAATACGATTCCTAGGATGTGACCCATGGTTCTCACGTCTGCAGAATATTTGGGGTGGTCTCAAACACATAGATGAAGCCATTCTATACTCTGTAGAGCAGTACTAGTACAACATGAATACTGGCAGCATAGCCCCACAGTGGAGGAGAAAGTGAAGGAAGGAGGGAGGAAGTTAAAGGAAGAAAAGCAAAAGAAGCATGGAAGAGGGGGAGGAGAAAATGTGCTTTTTTACTGTGCAATCCCACCTTGGTCTGTATTAGGTCTGAAAAAATATACTGAAGACTCTTCAAGACTCACTAGTAGATGCTGACAGGCCAAGACTCAGGCGTGCTCACTCCTTTATTTTCCTTAATGGTTTTTAGAAATAGAGTTAGAGAAAGATATAACTTACCATCTGTGTACCAATTGATTAGCTGAAGAAACAACGTATCACAACTACAGTATCAGTGCTTAATGCTTTTCCCTGATCCATCATTTTGACTTCCCTTCTAGAATGAATCACAGATCAATTTTTCCTATCATGCAGTCTTTGGATTGATCCCCATGTTTATGTATTTCTAAACCTTCACTACTATTTTTTAACATGGCTTCTGTGTTCTTAAGAGTTCCTTAGGACATTGGGTATTAGCGTAATCAATCTTCAGCACAGGAGAAGAAAGAGAAAAGGAGAAAAAGAAGGACAGGGAGGAGGAGGAGGAGGAAGAGGAAAAGCAGGAGGAGGAAGAGCAGCAGGAGGAGGAGGAGGAGGAAAGTCCTAGAAGTTATCGTACGAAGCCTGGGCAGAGAGCCAGTTTCATGAACAGATAGATCTCTTCTGGAAAGCTTGAGGGAGGGCTTAGAAAGAAAGGAAACATTACACCTTTTGGTCTAATCAAGTTCAGAAATGGCTCTTAGGACTTGTTTTTTAGCCTCTTCTACTAATCCAATACTTTTAAGATCTTGTAAACATGTTTTGATTCATTTTAAAATAAAAATGGAAACCACATCTTTCTTTTAAACAGTTATAAAACATAAAGTTTCAATTAATTAGTTAATTCATTCATTCATTATTATAATGGAAAGGGCCCAGAAAGGCAAAGTGCCCTAGTCCCACAGAAGTGATAATGCAGACACAGAGACTGGAGATTTACTGCCCTTGATATCACTTAACCACAGAATCAACACCAGCAGCCTCCTGCTGCCTTCTTTTATGTGAGGCATTTAAGTGCTCTTTGTTTAAGCCTCTATAAATCAGGCTTTCTGTTACTTGCAGTAGAAATTTATGTCCTCTGACACAACCTTCCTGTCTGGCCAAGTGCCCTTGGCTTTGTTCAGAAGATGTAGAAAGATGGAGGTGCCAGAAACTCCCAGGGATGACAACCACCATTCCCATGTATTGGGTTTTTCACGGTTTACCTCAAGGAGAGAATTTTGAAGTTTCACATTGAGGGATGCTTTCTCTTCTTCCAACTGCTTTATTTTCCTTTCTGATTTCATCTTCACTTCCTCCAACTGTACTTCTACTTCCTAAATGATAACAAGAAGGATTAGCTATACAAGGAAGGCAGGAAAACAGGACATTTATATATTTACACCCTGGCTTATTCCCAAAGGGGATAAAAGAAATTTAAAAGAGTAATAAAGGGGCTGGGAAGGTGGCTCAGTGGTAGAGCACTTGCCTTGCATGCATGAGGCCCTGGGTTCGATTCCTCAGCACCACATAAGCAGGAAAAAAAGCTGGAAGTGGAGCTGTGGCTCAAGTGGTAGAGCACTAGCCTTAAGCTGAAGAGCTGAGGGACAGTGCCCAGGCCCAGAGTTCAGGCCCCACGACCAGACCCCCCCCCAAAAAAAATAAATAATATAAAAAGTAAAAGAGTAATAAAATGCTGTTTAAACACAGTAACAAAAATGGACAAGAAGATCATTAGAAAACAAGTATTAAATACATGCCCCCAAATCTCTCTTCCTCCCCCCCCCTATATATAATTTATTTATTTATTTATTTTTTTGTCAGTGATGGGTCTTAAACTTTTGGCCTGGGTGCTGTCCCTGACTCTTTAGCTTAAAGCAAGCCCTCTACAACTTGAGCCACAGCACCATTTCTGGTTTTCTGGTGGTTAATTTGGAGAAGAGTCTCACAGACTTTCCTGCCCAGGCTGGCTCTGGACCATGATCCTCAGAGCTCAACCTCCTGAGTAGCTAGGATTACAGGCGTGAGCCACCAGCACCTGGCCCAAAGTCTAATTTATATAGGCTAGGATGGCGTAGATCTTTGACTCTAAGTCTGATATATGAAGTAGGCTAGAATAGGGTAGACCTTTGACACTATGTTTTCTAGCATCAAATAGGAAAATAGAATATTCAACATGAGAAATATTCTCAGTGTTCCATAAGTCCATAACCTAACTACATTCTTAGATGAAGGAGATATTAAAAGCAGAACAAAATTTGTCTGTCCAGATAGGAACCATATAGCAGCAGCCAGAATGATGAGGTTCACAGGCAGCTTTCTCCACAGTGTCTTCCATAGCCTGTGAGCCTTAGTATAGAGAAGATCCAGCTGGAGAAACATTTGGAGACCATGTGAGCTGAACAACCATGTTTTAGCTGTGTCATCCTTACCACATTTCTCAAGATGTACTGTGCTATTTTCATGCTTACCACTGTTCAGGATACACAATGAAGGCTCAACAAATGATGTCCATTATGACTCTTATGGATGTCTTGCTCTTCTTAGCTTAATGTTAGGTAAATATTAAGTCAACAAATAGTTACGGAATCCTAACATGTATCTGCCCTTTTATCAGAACTGAGAATTTAAAAAAAGATAAAATTCCTATGTGTCAGAAATTTATGTGAAAAAAGAACTGTCAAAGTCAGTGAGTACCATATGAGAAATACTATGTAAGATGGAAAAATAATAAAGTAGGGAAGGGCACTACAGATGTAGCATAGTTAGGCCGGAGAGTGCTCCATAGAAAATGACTTTTGAGTATAAAATCCCTGCATTAAGTAAAGGCCCAGCCAAATAGATGACTAGATTTGAGTAGGAGGACCTACTAGGACCTTCAAAGGGTTTTCCATGGTCTAAGGACTGGAGTGAAGGAGGGGAATTGGTAGGAGAAGAGGTTGGCGGGACCTTTGATCAGGCCTTACACATCTTAGTGAACAGCACAGTCAGGATACACATCATGGGAAGTACACATCTTCATCTTACAAGGAAGAGGAAGGCACTGGAAGGTCCAGGCAGAGGAGCCACATGACTGAATTATACTTTCATTATACCACTGCTAGTTTCTATCTTGGGGACACATAAGGAAGGAGATGAGGTGGGAAGACCAACAGTAGCAATGGGGTGGCCCAGTATGAAAGCATACAGTGAGTAGTAGTCACAGTGTAGTGCTGTGGCACAGATATTAAAATGCCAGGTATCAGAGCCCAGCATCTGAGTCTGGGTAAGGGAGGCCAATGTTGAAACAGGTATCAATAAACTCAGCAAGAACCAGATGGGTACATGTGGGAGAGGGTAGGAAAATGTTCTCCACTGGGGCAACAGGAAAGAACATGGAATGAGTGAGGAATGAAAAGACTGGTGGACAGAGTTGAACAGTGGAGAGGTATAGAATGGATGCGGCAGGACTGGCAAAGAGAAGTCTGTCTCTGCAGATTATTTTTAGCAAAGTGAAAGAGTTGGAACCACACCGTGGCAATGACAGGCACTGTAGAGAAGCTGAAAACCAAGGCTGAGCTGTCCGAAGATCCTGGACCAGAGCCAAGATGACATGAAATGGGTTGTGGCAGAGAGGTCATTGCACGGTCTATTGAGATATGGTGATGGGTCAGAGAGGAAGTGCTAAGCACACTGGGATACAGGGTTATTCTGAGTCACTAGATCAGGACAGCATTCTACTTGTTGGCTAACTGAATGCCAGGGTGAGACAGAAGACCTGGTTTTGGCTTTTCTGGACATCTAAAAGGCTGTACTGCTGAATATTTGGATGGTACCTTTACATGTTCTGTGGGCCCAACCAGACCAGCCAGTGGCCCTGGAGTGATCCTTGGCTAATGCCTTAGGGTAGTCATTTAAAAGAGTACAAGAGAACAATTTAATTCGATTGTTGGGGTTGTATGACCTGGCCATAAGCCCATGTAGTCTCTTCAGTAAACCTATGCAATTCTTAATTCTTTAAGACATGTTGTTTGGAGAATTTGACAAACAACAAGACAACATATAAATTATTAAAGTCATTAAGGAAACTATATGTTATTCTTTGGAATTAAAAACGCTGAGATAACTTAAGCTGCCATTAGAAGTCCTCAGCAGAAAAGCTGATTTTTTTAAACTTAATGAATTAGTCCACATGCACAAGAGCTTTGCCTGAACGTAAGTTTGGTGTATCACATATACAAACTCTGCCAACACACTCCTGTCACAGAATAAATTCCCTGCTAAGGTGATGTGGGGCTTGAAGGAATGGCCCAAACTTCACCTAGCACAGCTTCCTCCAGTACTTGCAATCCATCACAGCTGCAGCTGTTGCCTTGATAAAGGACCAGTGAATAAAACATTTCCCTACAAGCAAAAATTGCTGATTTTAGCAGTAACTTTTGGCATTACTAAGCCTCACTTTAGGTGCAAAATAACGTGAGTTGTTGTGAAAAAGCAAACAATGCTGAGTTACTCGGAGAACACAGGCTCGGTGCTGAGCTCAAAGTGACCTTGAGGATCTCCACAGGAAGCATTAACATACTCCCATTTCAGGAGATAAGAAAAGCAACTACAAGGTCAAGAATATGAAGGAAATGAAGAGACTGGTGCTTTCAGACATATGACCCGTACCCCTGAGAAAACAGTTCCAGGCTGCCCTCAAAACACACCATTCCACCTCACGTTAACAAGCTTAAGGCCTATCATTCCACAGTCTGAGGAGTGTCCCTTTATCTCCTCCACAAGCCCCTGAGCTCCACTTTAGGCAAGAACTGTGTCCTTTACCTGTGTGTCATTAGAGACCCAGCTCATACATGCACCCACAAGATCACAGTTAATAATTGGGCAAGGAAAGAAGAAATGGAAGAGGAAAGGAAGGAAAGGGGAGAAAGGAAAGAATCATCATGGCTGAACGTGGGCCTCACCTTTTGTAGCTTCTTTCTCTCTGCTTCAACGGATGAGCGCACAGACTTGATTTCTACAGTGTGCTTCTTTACCAGGTCCTCCAGACGCCTCACTAGCTGGTCTTTGAGGTGTTTCTTCTCCTCTTCAGTTTGATGTTTGATCTTTTGAAGGTCTTCTTCATATTGTTGCTTCATATATTCTGTCTCAACACTTGACACTTTCTATGGGAAGAAAGAGGGCCTTGTAAAACTACTGGGGAGCAGTGACATCCTGAGAATTCTCTTTAAATATGCTGACATTACAGAATATATCAGAAAGTTTACTGTGTGTGTGTGTGTGTGCGTGTGTGTGTATGTGTACAATAGTATTGGGGGTTGAACTCAGGGCCTGAATGATGTCCCTGAGCTTTTGTTCAAGGCTTGTACTCTACCACTGGAGCCACAGTTCCATTTCTGGTATGTATGTGTGGGTTTTATTTGTTTGTTTTTGTTTTTCTTTGGTAGCTCTCTGGATATAAGAGTCTCACTGAAAAAAATAAAAATAGTCTCACAGACATTCTTGCCTGGGCTGGCTTTGAATTATGATCCTCAGATCTCATCCCCTAGAGTAGTAGAATTATAAGTGTGAGCCTGGTAATTTAATACATTCTATAAGACTATATATTTGAAATTTGTAAGAGACTTGAGAAAGGCCTCACTGGAATGGTTTATCTTTTGTCACAGGATCTGATGTGCTAGACTACATCATAGTAGTTTCTAAAGGATTCTTGTTTTGACTCCTAAGCAATTTCCAATTTTCCAGAAGTCAACATAAAAAGTTGGGAGAATTCTCTGTCACCCAGTTTCAAATGTCACAGGCTGGGAGGAAGCTGGTAGAACTTCCTCTCTCAATCCAGCTACTCTTGGTCACTAAGGGATCTGATCATTCCAAGTGGATTCTCTATGGTTGGAGAATGGCCTCTACCTGACTCGCTCAGGAAAAGGCACCTGTACCTCTCCATTCCTAGGGATGGTTGGATACTACCTGTGTAGTAGAGTCTCCTTTGATGCAGGAACACTCCTTAGGAAAGCCTTGATCTTGCTGAGGATGAAAATTCTGGCCTTCCAAGTCATTTTCTTCTGCCAGGTCTTCGTTCTCCAAAACAAATATAGGCTTTATGTCATCTGCAAACATAAGTTCAAATATTATTTATGAAGTTCTTGGCTTTGATGCTGTGAACAGTCAAGTCCCCATCTTGCTATTCAGCATTTTGCCTATCAGCCCTTTGTATAATCCCTGTTCTATGTCTTCTGCCCAGAAACATAGTATCTCATCTCTGCTCAAACAAAATCTGATCCTTTGCATAATTGCTATGCTCTCCCTGCCTAAGCTAATAATTGACAATTAAAAAATAGTACGGTAGGTTACCAAATGGTGTATATTCCCCAACACAAACAAACGATACACACACACACACACACACACACATACACATATAATCATTTATTCAATGCTGATTTAAGGGATGAGAAAAATAAATACAACTAGAACTAATAAATTTTTCTTCTCTTGATGCCATTTTGATGGTAGTGGCACTTGAACTCAAGGCTTTACCCTTGACAGGCAGAGCTATATATTTGAGCCACACCCTTAGGCTTTTGTCCCATTTTTTTTTTTTTTAACCACTGTTCTAAGTGCTCATTATACTTCTGGTTCCTATTGAAATCTTTCTTTCTTCTCAGCCTATGAATTCTTTTTCATTGTCAGACACATTATTCCCTTCTGGGCCTGTAAGACCAAAATGTGCCACAGGCTGACACAACCATTCTATAAGCTTCAAAAAGTAGAAACCATGTTTTGTGCATTTTTTTGATAAGCTGTTTACACTACAGGTATTCAAGGGACTTGAGAAGAAGGCATTTGAATTCAGATAGTCTTAGATATAGCAGCTTATTACCAACCATTTAGTCCCCCAAATTCTTTTTCAGCTTCACTTCTTTATCATGGCATAACAATCCATATCTCACAAAATTGGTGGGAAGATCTACTCACGGGATTGTGTTAAGTGACATTTAGATGTCGAGTCTGTGCAGCAAGTGAGACAGCTCTGGGTGTCAGCTCACCTGTGCCCGGCATGGAATGGAGGCATCCAACTGGCAGGCCAGATCCAACATCCTTGCCCTGCCTCCTTATTTCTGAGCAGTCTTGAGGTGCCATTAACAACAGGCCATCCTGGCAGCTAACCTGCCATGTTTAAGGAGTTGTTTCAGGGGATCTCACCTGGTTTCTGTGCCACGTGACACTCCTGCAGAATCAGTCTGTCTTTGGCAACAGCCAGCTTCTCCCCAAGTTTCTTTGCAGTGTTCTTCAACTCTGAGTTCTCTTGTCGAGCCTCCCTTAACTGCAGGTCTAGGTCCTAAATTAGACAGGAAGGATCTCAGTTGTCTGCTTGCAATTCTGTAGAAAGATGTGCTGCATGCACAGAAGAGTTGTTAGTGCCGAAAGGTGGGTGAGCACTCAGCAGGAGCCCTGAGTCTTTAGAATTAGTGGCTCTGAGTTCAGCCAATTCCCTACGCTGATGGACAAAGTTTTCTAACTTTCCTCCAGAGTGTGTTCAAGTGTCTGGGACAGAAAAGAAAATGTTCAGGGAGTAGCACAAATGTCAACTGTGGCTCAGTACTTTTGTAGGGTTCACATAACAGACCAATCTATGACCCTGCTTTCTGTGAATACCAATGTCCTAAGGAAAGGCAAGTGACTCTGGAAAGAATACAAGAGTTAGAACTAGACTGACCTAAATTCAAAAGCTTACTTACTGTGTGCCTAGTGAGCTAGCCTTTAAACTTCTCTGCTTTTCTTGTCTTCTTATCTGTAAGCTACAAATCTCTAACTACCTTGTCCATAGCCTAAGCTGGGCACATAGTTGGCCGTCAATAAATATTTGCTGAGTGTAGTTTTATCACATATTAAAAACAGTACTGCTCACTTTGGTAGAAGACCAAAGACAGTGCTTGGCCCATAATAGGTGTTGAACAGGTTGCCGAATGAATGTAGTCAGGTTGGACAAAGACAGTAACTGCCACCTTGGCTAGAAGTTAAAGATTTAGCAATGTCTGGCATGTGGTGGGTGTTCAGATTTGGCAGCCCTGCCCATTCTCCCCTCGGGAGGTATGAAGAGTGGTTTTACCTGAATCCTCTCCTTCAGCTTCTGGGCATACTTCTTCAGGTCACTGATCTTGCGGCCCCTGTGCTCCAGGTCTCCTTCCAGCTTCCTGACCTGGGCCTGCAGGGCTGACTCTTGAACCTGGAAGTTCTTGCGGAGGTCGGTCTCCTTCTCTTGCCACTGCCACAGGGCCTCGCTCACTGACTGCTGCATGGCCTGCCGGATGGCCTCGTTCTCTCGCTCGTAGGTGGCCTGCAGTTCCTCAGCCTTGCGGGCGTAATCCTGGCTCAGCTGTTGGTTCTCAGTGCGCAGGCGCTCCACCTCCAGCAGGACCTGCTGCATTTCTGGGCCCTGGCTAGGCTCGGTCGTGGCGTCTGGGATCTCCTGGGACGGTCTGCCCCACTGGGGAGCCTCGTGGCTCATCAGCTGCCGCAGCCTCTTCTCGTAGTCGGCCTTGAGCTCCAGCATCTCCTTGGAGAGCGTCAGGACCCGCTCTGCGTGCTCGGCCTCCGCCCTCAGCTCTCGCTCTTTGGTCTCTAGCTTGCACGTGGCCGACTCTGCCAGTGCCTCCCGCGTCAGCCTCTTCTGCAGCTCCAGGGCACTCTCCAGGGCCTGGATGCGCTGCAGAAGGGTCTCCTGCTCCTGCAGGAGCCTGGCCTTGGTCTCAGCCACCGCGCCCTGGAGTTCCTCCTGGTGGGCTTCCCGCAGGGCCTCCATGGTGGCTTCGGTCTCATCCTGGCGGGTGTTCAGGGCGTAGATCACCTGCAGGAAACCCGCAGAGCCTGGTTAGCGCGGCCAGGGGAGGCCAGGCGGTGGGTGTGCGCCAGCCACGGCTGCCTCTCCACCCGGAAGGCAGAGCCGGCCATTTCCTAGAATGCACTCCCAGGAGAAGCCTGTGAGAAAGCAGGTAAGTGAGCGGGAGAGGCAGCAGCAAGGAGGGCGCATAGCGCCAGATGGAGAGGGACTCTGGCCAGTTCTGGAGGGGTCTCCTGAGAATGGCAAGAGTGCAGGAAAGCGCGTTAAACCCAGAAAGTGGCGGGAAGCCATTTATTGAAAGTGAACATTTTGGAATGCAAAACCCAATAAAACCTTAGGAATCGAAACCAGCAACATTCTCCATAGGCACAGGACAAACATTTGCCAAAACTCAATTTCCTCCCATGATAAAAACACTGAGCAGATTGGAAATTGAAAAGGACCTCCTCCAACTAGCAAGTACATCTAGAAAAATTAAATCTCGAAAACACTCACAATTAGTATCATACTCAAGGGACTGAATGCTGTCCTCAGATTAGTGCTGTGACAAAGATGTAAACCAGAGATAAATTAATACATATTACATATTAATTTATAATATAATACACATAATATATAGCTTATATATTTGTTAACTAATATATGCATACATATGAACATATAAATATAATACATACATAATATATTATGTATTCATTACATATTATTATATTTTTATTTAATTTATTTAATGTTTGATTATATACATAATTATATATAATATAATATATCTATTAGATAAAGAAAGATAGGAAGTCCAGGAATCAAGAATGATTTCTAATATGTTGATCTGAACAATCTTTCTGAAAAGGGAAAAATAAACTGTGGGTAGAAGAGGTATGAACAGGAAAATCAAGAGTTCTACTTGGAGATTAATTTTTATATGCCTGTAGATAACCTAGTAGAGAAGTCAACAAGGCAAATAGATCTACATCTAGTCTCAGAGAAACATACTTGAGCTGGAATGAAGTTTTCTAGAATCAGGAGAATTCTGTTGCTGCTATTTGTTTGACAAGAGATTTCAGATGTATGAAGCGGGGAATAACGGACCCCACCCCATGGTGTACACGGAAGTTAAAATCCCAGGAGACAAAGAAAAGAGAGAGAGAGCAACAGGTGTAGGCAGGCCTGGCAGGAGAATGAGGAAGCTGTCACCTTGCTGAGATGAGAAGGTGACGCCCACATTTACAACACAGCGAGGGAAGGTTATCAAATAATTGTGCTGAGTGGAACGAGAAGAAGGTCAAAGAAGTGAGAACTTTTGAACTGGGTTTTAGAAAAGGAGAATGAGTTACCTACATTTCAGAGCAGCAGTAAAAGCTGTGTTGAGTTCTAGGTCTCTGCTTCATTGTGACATTTTCATTAGCCTAGCCCACTGGAATGAGTTTGAGGATGGATGAATGGATTGAGTAGAGTTGGGGCTTCACATGGTGAATGGGTTAGAGGGAGAGAAGGGCTAGGCAGTGGAAGTACGTACAAGAGCTGGCAATTCTCTTTTTAATGCCAACAAGACATGCGCAAAATCAGCATTGATCCTCTGTTGATCCACAGCACTTGTTAAGTGCCCAGTAGCTGCATAATAAATATGTTATGCAACCCTTGCAGGGCATCAATAATTCATGCCTTCCTTCCACAGTGAGGAGATGCTTTGGGGAAGCACGATGCACATTTCCTAACCCCTTGAATTTACATGGCACTATTGAGTAGTGATTACCAATGGAATTTGGATTGATATCCCAATTTCATCTTGGGCCCAACATGTGGGTTAAAATTACAAAGGGACACAAGTGATTTTTTATTTCTTGCTATTGTTTCTAATGTATTTATAAGGTACCATGTGGGTTTTTTGGTTGTTTTATATGTTCCTCCCCCCCCCCCCCCCCCCGTTTTCACTGTATTTGAGGTCGGTATAATTTGCGGAGGGGAAGGGAAAAAACAAAATGTTTAAATAGGGATATAGGTTGACCCATTGTAACAATGAGATGTACAAGATTCTATGTTGAAAAAGGAACTTTACAATTTATGCGGAGGGGAGTGGGGGGGAGTATAGTTGTGGAGATGGGAGGGAAGGGATGGTAGGGGAAAAACAAAGGAGGAGGCAACAATGCTTATAAGAAATGTACTCATTAACTTGCTCATGTAACTGTAACCCCTCTGTACAATATTTTCACAATAAAAAACTTATTAAAAAATTACAAAGGGTATATGTCCTCCCACAGTTTCTTTCACTATTGAAAACCTACTTAAGAGGATTCAAATGATTTAGGAAGGTGAAGTTTAAGATGGAAGGTATCCTAACCCTAAATTATTGAATTGGAACACTCATTCACCAGAAGCACTAGCATCTAGCGTTATACAAACAAGAAATAAACTACTGTAGTGAGCCTCTGATCTCCTGGTGATTGTTACAGCATCTGTTAGTTACCTTAATGTGTCAAAGGGCCCCAAGACCATTCCTAGCGTTAGCTAGGAGGCTTCATAGGACTCAATACATAGACTCATGACTATCAATTATTACAACAAATGACATGAAGCAAAATCAGTTAAGGGAACAGGTCCTGCAGTGATAATAGAAGGCATGCCAGGAGCAGGCTTCAGAGTCCCTACTCAATGGAGCTAATTTGCCTAGTAAGGACGTATGACAACACAGGTGAATACTGTCTATCAAGAAAGCGGATTTCATACTTAGCATGCAAAGTTTTTGCTGGGAGCTGCTTTAGGCAACTTCGGTTTGGCATACCCTGAAGTTCTAAACTCGTAGTCGGAAAGTATGTGTATTGTGCAATCCATGATATTTATGAAAGTACTTTAGGTGTAATGAGTCACATTTTTTAAAATCAGTTTGAGGAGTAAATTCCCTTAGGAAATAGGGTAATTTTCAACATGGATAATTTTCAAATGTCAATCTTTTAAGCAATCATCTGTATGTTGAATTTTTTTTTTTTTTGGTCCGGTCGTGGGCCTGAACTCTGGGCCTGGGCGCTGTCCCTCAGCTCTTCAGCTCAAGGCTAGCGCTCTACCACTTGAGCCACAGCGCCACTTCCGGCTTTTTTCTTTTTGCTTATGTGGTGCTGAGGAATCGAACCCAGGGCCTCAGGCATGCAAGGCAAGTGCTCTACCACTGAGTCACCTTCCCAGCCCCTAGCAATCATCTGTATGTAGCAGTCCCAAGAGTGCTACATTAACCACTTTCTGCATGCCTAATATATACACTAACAAAAAAGATTGATTGTTTTCCCCTCTTTAGTGGTATCAAACTTGTGTGATAAGGCAAATCTTAACGTAATGAGAATTTCTTATAGTAAAGAACAAAATATCTTCAAAGGATAATTCTGTGAAATTTGGCTTTGGAGATTCCATGAAGGGGAAAATTAATAGTGATACTGATGGCGATCTTGGTGTGTGGGGTTTCCAAAACTGTAGCAAAGAAAACTTAACTTGAAGATCTTATTTACCCTGATGCCATAAAAGTACATTTATTTGAAAAGGAATCAGTATCTCTTAGGCTAGGGGTCTTTTAGATTTTATCTACTCCAAGTAGGTTCATATAAATCTTTCCTGTTATGTGAAAATCTGTCCTATGAAAATCACTCCAGAATTAACATGAGATCAGATTTTAAGCTTGATGTAGCAGAAAGAGGCCCACATGGCAGGCACACAGCGTCTAAAGGTATTTTGGCATGTACACATTTAGTCATGGTGTCCTGGAATTAAAGGCTCAACACAATCCTCCTCACAGGCTAGGCCCAAACTGTTCTGTTAGGCTAAGATCTAGTTATACCATTCTTAGCTTTCTAAGGTTTCCAACACATATTCCTGACCTCCTCCTTCAACACCATTCAGAAGATGGCTCAAATATCCTTCCAAAGAATAGTATATGCACAAACAAGAAATTTTTCTTTATCATGTTTTCATGCATTGTATTTCCTATCATATTTTGCATGTTCTTTTATAGACTACCAAGTTGTTTACATCTTTATATATAGTCTTTAGAGATTATGACATTTCTGTACCTAGAGAAAATTTATTTTTCTATTTTGGCTGCTTCAGATTCTATTGTATTGTATAGTCTTTATTTTTCACTCCCTGCTCATAGTCATAAACTTGTTTCTGCAGAAAGTTATTGACATGTTTCTTGTTTCATCATCATTATTAATTTTTTATACTCCTTTTCCATTTCTTTCAACAAACGAGGTTTTTCTTTTGGCTTATAAATGCAATTAGCAAAACTCCAGAGCCTGGTTTTAGAAAACTGAAGTTTTAGTCTGATTTGCTTCCTCAAGCCCAATGGTACAGTCCAAAGAGAGTAATGGACCAAAGAAACTGGACCAAAGACACAAAGGATGAGCTGGAGAGCCCAATGAGACAAGGAGGGCTGAGCTTCTAGTTACCTGTTCATCTCTGTGGACACACCGGTACTGGACAGCTGGATCTACCAACAGGCATGTGATACCAGAGGACAAAACATGGCATGGTGTCTGGAGAAGTCCCTATTGGTGTTACTGAGGACACAAGGAAGTACTGTGAAGGTAGCTGTGAGGCTCAAGTTCAGCTACTTGTAGAGAGTGATGTAAAAGATAATTCCCCCCTCAGAAGAAGTCAGTTCAGGTAAACGAAGAAGAGTATGAGGAAATGGTTGACAAGACAATCAGTTTGGGAAAGATATGACAAAAAAATACAGTGAAAACAGACATTCAAAAGATAAGCTGCAAGATGGAGGACTAAAAGTAACCTCTGATTTGACTCTGTAAGCAAGAAGTTAGGAAACAAAGAAGAGTCTATATTCTGAAGCATGAAAGGGAGGTAGTGCACCAGGAAAGAGTTAATGGAACAGCTGAAGAGCATGGAGAAACAGAAAAATGACAGAGAAAAGCAGAAAATAGAACAAACCTGAGGGTTGAGCTGAGGCATAATCACAAGATAAGTTAACAGCCCTGGTGACTGGTAATTCTAGGTGGAGGATATGT